AGAAATTGATTTTGTTTACACACTTTTGTTTTCTATGCTTGTACAGACTCGAATTAGTTTCTACTTACTGATGGTAGTTATATACAGTTTTTTTTTTTTTTTATAAATTGTAAATGTTGTGGGAAATAATCACTCATAAGAACAAAAATGCTATAAAATGTATTGTATTTACTTAGTTAGGATTTTTTAATAGTCGTCACTACATATTTGTAGAATACTTAATGCAAAAATTATTCGATACTAACAAATTTACACTTCTACTAAAACGACTATAGTAAGTGTATTTGTGGGTTGATTGTTAATAAAGGTACAGAATAATAAGAATGACGGATTTGACGGAGAATGTTTTTAAAAATATATTTTGGTTACCGAGTATTAGGGGGAGGGGATTAGTCCATCTTTGCTAGCCAATGATTTGTGAATCACAAACTCTTGGCTAGCGACACTCCAGCCAAGTCCAGATGGTATGTAAGTATCCCACTCTCTCTATATCCCTCCATTAAGTATCGGAGTCAAGCGAGGATCTAGGAATGTTTTACGGGGGGGGGGGGGGGTCCACCCCAGTAAATATTAATCTAGACCATAATTTGATGACGAGTAAAAGGGAAAAAAAATTTAAAAAAAAAAAAAAAAAAAAAAAAAAAAAAAAAAAAAAACGTACACTACTTTCAAACGTGAAAACCTTATATTTCGTAAAGGGGTAGGTCGGGGATGGGGGTGTGGAGGCAGAACCGCTTTCTTTCTACTTAAGCTTCAAAAGAATTACTCATCCTACTTTCCTACTTTCTTAATAGGTGTCCTTGCTTTTTAGGAGAAGAAGAGGGTCATAGGTCATTTTTAGTTTACTATAGATCTATATTTGAGTACTCCGCAAATTTCGGGGGAGGGGGGTGGAGGTCCAGATCCGCGCATTGGAATAACATTAAAATATGTTTAAGTGTTTAGATATTGATTTGATTTTATTATTCTTTTAGAGAAATATTCAGGAATTTTATATATAACGTAAATTCCAGAAGCAACACCGGCGTTAAAACACACACAGAAAAAAAAACAGCAGTGCAAACGTTGAACATACTTTTAAAGTATTAACTGATTTGTGAATATATAAAATGTCTACATGAAGAACTGCAAGCAATACAATGAGAAGAAAATCCTAACACGAACTGCAGTTTCATACATGAAAATTTCAGGAAAAAAAATTAAATTTCGATCTACCAACCTACAAATACTGCATAGAACAGGTGCTGTATGTTACGAGAACGCATGAAGATTAAATATTCAAACTCATTTCATATTGTCAATTTTCATGTCTACAAAGTTTTTTAACTTTCAAAGTATAAACATTTTATACTTATATCACTTACTGATAATTCATCGTCCGTTCTTCTTTCTGTGCTTATCCCTTCTCTCGCTCTGAGGTCTGGCTCGAGTGACGTCATGTTAATAAAGATGGCTTTTCAGCATGTGATATTTGGTGGATCATAACACTTTACATTCATAGAGGCGGGTTTACGTATAAATAGAAATTCTGACACTGACTCTATTTGTTTCGGCGTATGGTATATTATTCATTATACTAGGATATTAAAACTAGCGAAAATAACTGAACAAAAGTTTAATAAATTCATTTGTATATCGTGTACATTCAACTTAAAATTGTCCTGTAGGATTCAAACATGTAACAGTAAAAACAATGTAATAATATTGAATATTCATTGGTGGTATCTTAAAAAAAATATTTTAAAATTGCAAAGAAATGTATTCTACACACGATATGACGATCAACATACGTATTCATTTATACTTTCACTCTGAAAATAAAACTGAACAACGGAAAGTGGAAAGGGAGAAAATGTGCGTTTTAGACGCCAAAATTTGACGTCACAATAAACACGTTTTTCTCAACGTATATATATATATATATATATATATATATATATATATATATATATATATATATATATATATATATATATATATATATATATATATATATATATATATATATATTAAACAAAAAAAAAATGAATAAATAAATAAAACTTATTTAATACAGTAAAACTTGGTTATAGTAAAGTCCTGGGGACCTTTGAATTTACTTTGCTATATCCGTGCTTCGTTATATCCATATAATGAATCTGTTAAAGTATACTAGTATATAGTCAATTTTCAAAACATGCATAATCTTTTAAGTGTTACTAAAGAAAATATTTTTGGTAGCATTAAATACAATAGTTACCTAGGAGAACTATACTTTTCTGTCTAACCAAATTTTAAATAGAAATAGTTTGATATTTAATATCTAAAATTTAATATTTTGAATTTTTGTATCTTGAAATAATTGTTATAAAATATTCCCTTAAATTTCGTTATTTTTAACCTCTAGGGGACTTAAAATCAATTCACTTTATTCATAAATTCATTATATCAGAGTTTGATTTTACATTTAAAATTTATAAGGATTTATTAAGAATTTTGCTGGGGATACCAAAAAACTTCGCTATATCCGTGTACTATTCTAGACTAGTTTTACTGGGTTTAAAAACTCTCATTTTCCAATCTATCTAACGATTGTAACTTTTGATTGTAATGGAGCACACGGCTTGGTGGTTAATAAATGTTAATAACACCGAATTGTGGCTGATTCAAACCCAAATTTAGGCTTTTGATATAGTACGTGTGTTTCGTCCTTTTAGGATGTACCTAATTTTCTCAGTTCATCCAGCTGAAATTGTAGATGGGTTTTAAGGAGGTTAACTTCTACCTGATTGCTGAAATATTTTATTTCTCCTCTAAGCACTTCAGAAACCGGTCGAATGTACAAGCGCCGGCCCTGGGACGATTTGGGAGCTTTCGTCAAAATGTTGATCGGAACCGAAGTCATTAATCTTCCAGTTTTGTAAATAGTCATTGGAGATTCAATTGATTTGAGCTTAATGAAACCAGACTCAAATATAAACTAATCAGTTGACTTTTTGAATGAAATAAAATTTGTCATCAATGTTTCTTAACATTTAGGTTCCAGTCTGTCCTAATGTGTTATCAATATAGAAACTATAATCTACCAATTAGGATCTATATCTGAAATATTACATCACCGCAAACACCTTTAGACATTTGTATTCAAAATTACTTTGACTGGATATAAGATGTGCATAAAATTTCTCAGTAGTTCAGTTACTAGAGAAATGATTTGTAAATGTACCTAGTATGGAAATAGGTTCAAAACAAAAAGGTTAAAGTATAATCTTCGATCGGTGTATGATAAATATTCCTTTTATTTGAATAGTAGCAAGCAGTAAAAATATTTTTCAGATCTAAAGGTATTTTATTTGTCACCTTATTACAAAACATGTTCATATCTCCAGAAAGCATAATATATTACTACTACTTAGAGATGGACAATTAGCAGTTGATCTAGATCTCTCAGAAAATTTCTTTGAAGATCAACTAAATACAAAATGAATGCAGCGTATCTTTTTTTTATTATTATTTTAATTTGTTATTTACATACATCTAAAAGAATTCACGTTCCAAAAAAAAAGGAAAAAAAAAAAGAAAGAACAAAAAAAAAAAAAAAAGAAACTAGACGAAATGTGAGAAATAAACTCACAATATCATACCCAGCTCAGACCGCTCCAATAAGAATATTATGGCAAAGTCCGTGTTTTGCTAATGGAAACTCGAAATATCTGTTTGATCAGAACATGAAATAGGAGGTGCGAAATGGGACTATTAAATAAATATTCTGTGAAAATCTATTTTTTATTAAGTACAAATGGTATGGGGGTGGTGGTTGATGTAAAGCGATAAGCACCTCAAATATTTTAAAATGATTGCAGTTAGCATGTTTTATTATGGAAAACCCCATATATTTTTACGATCGATGTTCACAATGGGAGTATACTTATTTTAAGTTTTGAAAGTATTTCACAGAAATTTCTATTTTAATTAACCATGACAACACCATTCACTGAAATCAAAAACCGAAAAACATATAACGTATCGTAGTGTATTCTAATTGTGTGCTAAATTAGATTGAAATCAGACCAAATCTGTAGGAGGATTAGCGTTTAAAAGGAATTTCACAGAAATTTCTATTTTTAGTAACCATGGCAACATCGTTCATCGAAATCAAAAACTGATGCATTAAATAATGTATCTTAATATAGTCAACTTGTGTGCCAAGTTATATTGAATTCAGACCAAAACTGTAGGAGGAGTAGCGTTTTAAAAGAATTTCACAGAAATTTCTATTTTTAGTAACCATGGCAACACTGTTAATCGAAATTAAAAACCGATGCACTAAATCATGTATCTTAGTGTAGTCTACTTGTGTGCCTAGTTATATTGAAATCAGATCAAAACTCTGGGAGGAGTAGCGTTTTGAAAAAAATTGTTTACAGACAGACGGACAGACAGACAGCTAGACAGACAGACGGACGGACGACGAACATCTTACTATCGCAATAAACTCTTCTGGTCTCTGACCAGTAGAGCTAAAAATACTATAGATAGAATTACACTTCCATGATATGCTGTGGGAAACCCCAAACAACTGTCCGATCAAAACTTAAAATAAGTGATGCACAATGGAACTATGTTTAAAACATTCTGTGAAAGTATCAGTTATTAGTTTTTCAGTAGTATTGGAAGAGTAACGGATAAGAAATGGGTATCCCCAAGTGTAATGAAGGTTTGGATGGACACAACCATCATTATATAAGCAACAGCATCCCTACTCCCCACCTTAGCCCCCCCCCCCCCTTTCGACTTTCAAACGGGGTGATGTAATAAAATAACGTAGAAATATTGAAAAAAAACTATTATGATACTAACATGAAAATTGTCATATAAACTTAATTTCCAATTGAAAAAGAAAAATCCATTTCTTATTATATCTACATTTCAGAAGAAAATTATACAGTGAAAGAACAAGTCAGTATTTTTTTTTAAAGATAGTCCCTATTACACTCAGCATTCGACGAATTGTGTGTATTTTAGGTATTTGCGTACACACTGTCCATACTCAGATAATTACATACAGCCTTGAAGCAGAATTCGTATTCTTCCTGAAAGAGGCAAAACACATAGTTAACCGAAATCCAAGATCTTTTCATTTGTGCAGTATTTATATACATGTACAATAAAAAATGTTTTAGAAGATTTTTTTCTGATAATGCATCATTTCTTTCCGGCAGTTTTTCTAACAGCTGTTTTTCAACGATACAAAAAAATCTTTAATTATTAAAACTGATTTTTCAACGTGTGTTTATAGAAGATGTTAATAAATACATGTATTTTAAAATGATAAGTGAATGTAACCTTTGTTGATATCATTTCTGGTCTCCGAATCTGCAGCTGCTGTACGATAGTTAGAATATCAACTTCCCCGTCTATCTCTAGCTGTTCTATTGCGTTATATACAGTACAAAAAACTCCACAGCAGGTGGCACCATCTCTTTTTTGAAATAAAGAAAAAGCATCCATGAGCTATTAAACCATTTTGTTAAATTGTAAAGTAAAATATGTTAAATTTGTACTAAGCAATGAAATGAAGAAAAAATTCTGAAAATCTTAATCCCCTCCCCCCTCCTTTTTTTTTTTTTTTTTTTTTTTTAGAAAAGCAGTTCTAATGATATAAGAAAGAAAAGAAAGTATGATATTTTCAATGGCATAAACTAAATTACTTATGTAGATCATTAGGCGAATTTATATTGAATATGATTCTTACTTGGATATGACCGTTATATGCCCATCAGTGTCAGATTTACGATCGAGGCTGAATTGTTTGATTAGATTTGTCAATGTGGACGGTTCAGCTGGAATTCTATCAGAGGACTTCCAATTAAGGCATTCAAAGATTTGCACTTTATGGGTCTTTGTGTTTTTCTGAAAATAAACAAATAAAATGGCAAAACACGAATTTTATTGAGATTTTTCCAAACAAAAGTAAAACTCTCTTCTTTCAGTTATAATTTTGTAGTGTCATTTTCCTTTCCCAGAAAGGAATACTTCTGCATATATTTCTTGGATATACTTGGAATCTTTCTGATGCATTTGTTAGAATGGCTTTGGTTAAACAAGGAATAGGATTGTAGAAACAGTAACCTCTTTCCCTTTAAGCTTTATAGTGGTCTTTTGCATTTCTTCAGATAGTGTTCTCTGTTCAACTTTTGTGATTTCATATGGATTTAGATTGAACGTTTTCATTTCTTCTGACACCCAATCTTTCAGCTTAAATAATGCAAGATAAATATAAAACCATATTTTTGTTTTTATATTATGTAATTTATTTATTATACACCTTACTTCTACTATCTTTAATTAGAGTTTTAATTCTTAAGATGCATGAAAGTCACGTTTATTACTTTCTGTATTACCTCTTCGACATCAGCTAAAGGATTTAATGAAATCAGAAACGATGATTCTTGATCAATCAAAAGACGAACAAGATCAACTGCAGCATCAGTTACCGGAAGTTGCGCAGAAATAAACTCCTCAGCTCGGCTAAATGACTTGATTGGATATAAAAAAAAATAAAAGTCTATTATTTGCACAAAACGATCAAGAGTAAGTTTATAAACTCACATAAATAGGTCAAGAGAATGATGAACCATGATTATCATTCTTTATCAAATATTATTGTAAAGAGGTTCGAGTAAGTAAGTTATATGGGTAATGACAGGTTATATATTTCACGACAATACATACCGAGGCAGAAACTGCATTATAGTAAGGTTCTCGCCCATGAATATTGGAAGTCAAATACATGAGATATTGCTCAACTACAATATATAAATTATTCATCATTTTTTCACCATAAAATGTTCTTTCAATGAGAAAATTGTTTCTATTTATGATATATCCAAAACATACATGTATTTTTTTAAATTTTGCTTGTATACTGTATATTATAAGAAGACGTGTTCTTTTTTCTTTTTAAATCTTGACTTGTAGATGCATTTTTATCCCTTTAACCCCCCCATCCCCACCCCTCTCCCCCACCCTGCAGAAAAAATACCTGGTAAAACTGATTTTGTCACATTCAGGTTTTGATATTTCTTCCCGGTTTCGAAATTATCGTCACTGTAATTTGGTCTCAAACTTGTAAGTTCCTGTAAAATACAGTAAAGTTTTAAGTGATAATTTGTAGTTTTTTCATCATAGGGAATTAAACGCCATCACTTGAAAATTTAGAGTTGTCTCTTGATTAGTCTTACGGCTGTTTTTCCACTTTTAATGAGACTTAGATGAAAGTAGAGGTACCGTGAGCACTGATTTCACAAATAATGATATCCCCACTCCTATTTTCGTGTTTTTTCAAAGTGCATTTCTTGGCATATGTAAATAAGATTTTGTTAAAGTTCCTTTGCTTTCATTCGGGGGTACAGAGAGATTTGCATTTAACAAAATGCGTACCCCCTTAACGAGTATAATTGCAAAGTCCATGTTTTGGAATATGTAAACCCCATATATCTGAATTATCCAAACGTTAGATACGAGGTGCGAATTGGCACTATGTAATACAGATTCTGCGAAAATCTAACTTTAAATTTTATGCACTTGTGTAAAAGTAGTTGCGGATAAGACATAGCTACCACGAATAAAACAGGGAGAATAGCAATATCTATGTTTTGCTATGACATACCCAAAATATGCATCCGATCGAAAAGTAAAATAGAAGATGCACAATGCCACTATATCATAGCGAAGTTGTGAGTTTCATTAAATTGCTTTCAGTGATGTAAGAGGAGTTGCAGATAAGGGATGACTGTCCTCAAATGTAACAGACGGACGGACGGACATCCCCATTATTAAATAACCCTCATCTTTTTAAGAAGGGGTACAGTATAATAAATTATTAAAGGTAAGAGTCACACATGACAAAGGCATCAAAAGATTTTTTAACCATATCTTGCTGATTATGTACAACTATCTGAAATGTTAGTCTTATCGTCTTCATCTTTTTATGATCCTACATTGAACTCATCTGTGCAACGTTTTCTTGTTTCTTGCTTTTCCATATCTCTATATAGCTGAACAAAATCGTCTTTTCCGATGAATTTCCATTTTCGCCTGAAGAACTCGTATAATGCATGGTAAAGAAAGGCATATTGATCCTACAAACAAGGTATTGTCATATTATATTATTGCATGATCTAAATACAAGAAATAATACCAAAATGTATAGTGATGACAATAAAGTTTATTTGAAACCTAACAATTTGCTTTTGTTCATAGTTCCTGAAATTTTGAAAAAGATTAAAATGGATAAGCATTCTTGAAATTCCTAAAAAGTCATGTTCTTTTACGTTTTGCACGTAATATAACTTACTGCATTTTGTATCATTGTCATCCTGTCCTTACGCATAGCTTTAACGTATTCCACAACGTTGATTTTCCCTTTCTTCTCCCCACATCTAGACAACACATCCAGAGCTATAAAAGTGCCTGTTCGACCAATGCCCGCACTAAAATAATCAATAATGTCATAATTCCTCACAGAGATTGACAATATTCCTTAGAAACATCAATGCATTGAAACATTGCGCAGATAATACAAATTGTATTATTCCTCATGAACATTAAAATCATTCCTCACACAAATTGACATTATTCCCCAAGAACATCAATATCGTTTCTCACACAGATTTACTTTATTCCCTATAAAGACTGATCAATATCCTCCCTAAGATTATGAAAATAAATATCCACCTTGAGTTTTAGATCGAAAATGTCTACCTAGTTTTCGGAAATCAGGTCTTCCCATAATCTGTTGGAATTACCCTGGTACCATTTGCGCCCCGTTATTAGCAGACCTTTTTTTGTATTCATATGAAGCATGTTGCAATATACCCTTATTACCTGTATATGGGGTTTATGTCTCCAAATTGATGCGATACGCAAGGGCATGCTCTACGTACGATCAATTTTTAAAACGAGGCAAGCTATTAACTAACAAGTGGATGAAACAAGAATATCAACAGGATTGTTTGAAGTCGTCATTTCGCAAGTTCAATGGTCGATAAAATGACCTTATCAACAAATACAATCTATTATTAGGTCAATGCTGATTGACGTTTTTCAAACTGATTGTTAGGCCATTATTTTCACACTGAAATTTATATGGACCCGATCATGACAAGGAGCACGCGGCGGGTTCGACCGGTCGATAGGGGATATGTACTCTTCCATGGCACCTTATCCCACCTCTGATGGTTTTTGAGGTCCATGTTTGCTCTGCTCCCGATCTGGGTTGTTTAAATGGACTATGAGCTTTAATACTGTCTGTTATCTTCATATTTCACTCTCTCCCTTTTTAAAGTAGAATCTTAGGAATAAATTAGAGGGAAAAAAATATTAACTTTAAAGCCTCATAATAAATCCATATTTATGCAATAAATCATGCAATACAAACGATCGTTTAGCTGAAAGACAGTTTTGGATGGAAAAATTTTAACCTACCTGCAGTGCACGAGAATTGGGTTGTGAGATGGTTTTATTTTATGTCGGTACTGTCTGTGGAAGACAACCAGATCTAGTGGACTGGGAGTCCCGTGATCTGGCCATCGTGTGTAGTGAAATTGTACGACCGTCCTTGACTCAGAGACCTGAAGGAACTTGGAATTTTGCAATTGTAAAACAATGATTTTTTTTTGACAGGATAAGAAAAAGCATTACGTTTATATGACCAAAATATAAAATATTATTTCATTCACCGTTACACATTTATCTTTAGGAAATAATTCCCAGTATTTCCTTTTGGAGTAGTAAATGTACCTTTGTTGAAAATGTCTAATTAAAACCCCAAGTTTTTCCATAATCAACAGCTATACTGTATGTATAATTACAATATATAGTCTATCTAAGATAGCAATATACAACATACGCTCTCTTTTCGCACTGACATTCTCCTTATGACAAAGTAAGCATAAACCTTTTCCTCTACAAGAGTTACAGAAAATGGATCGACATCAAGTTGTTTGTTTTGATCTGGCCAGTACTGGTGGCATTTCACCTAAAAAGGAAGAAAAATAATAGAACATGAACATCTTACCTGGCAAGTCTGGTAACTAGCCAATCTACCTGTATCCATCAAATATAGATACCAGAGAGTGACAAGACATAGTATATATTTTCTAGATAAGTTCCTTCCTCACTGCATTTTGTTTTACTAAGATATATGTGCTTCAATTGATTATTATCCTTCCTTTCATAGAATTTTATTTTGTCAGAAACTTGCATATGGATCGAAATAAAAATTTTGACATATGATAACTAGGAATAATAATTCAAAGTTATAAGATCAAAAATGGTTTCTTTTCGCATTGAGATGGAAGGTTTCGTTGGATAGCTATTTATGCGATACCGATCAAAAGTTTTGTTTTGTCTAAATCAAAGTCTGGTGTTTAGTATTATGTTTATGCTGCTATTTACAATGGAGTTATTTTTTACGATGACTTCCCTATAAAATGAAAGTTGAAACATTTTTATCCCTCCACCCTTTTTTCATTGTTTTCATGCTATCAGTATACAATTTTGAAAAGGAAAAAAAAAAAAAACAAAAAAACAAAAAAACAAAACAAAACAAAACAAAACAAAAAAAAAACAAAAAACAAAAAACACATGTATCTACAAGAAAACCTCGCTTTTTGATATTCAAAAATTTAGTTGTCATCGAGGCTTTTATTTTTATTCAATAATTAATGTCATTTAAAAAGTAGAAGTCTACGCGGGTATGTTAAGGAAGCATACAAATCATTTCTCGGGAAATTTAGACTTTTTGAAGAAAATTAAGATTAATAATTCATCAAAGTCTCCGATAAAACATAAACTATTATTAACTATTACATAAAGACACGGAGTGTCCGAGGCCAAGTAGTGCACCACCTCGAAGTCATCACGTGACCACTATTAATAGCAAAATATTTCTTAATGAAAAACTTCACAGAACAACACTACCCCGGGGTTAAATAATTTCTTTGAGTAAATAGCATAGTTGAAAAACATCTCTTATGCCTAAAAAGTGCTGCTAGAATCCCACTGTCCGATCGGGAAAATAATTATTCCACATATATGTACGAAACCTTACCCGATGTTTTGCATTTTATGCATATAACCCGAGATATTTCTACAAACCATGTTTACTTCACGATTCTAGCAGCACTTTCCAAGTATTATAGAACACAAGCTTTCGATATGTACAAATCTTATGTTTTTAAGTACCCAGCTTAGTGTTGTTCTTTTGCATTATTGTTGTCACGAATGACAGAGGAAAGGCCAACCGGGATACGTAAATAGCTGACTGTCTTCAAAAGAAGATATAATCGATGAAAATAAATCAACATACCTGTTTAACATACTTTAACTTCACATGAATAACACACAATATTCACGGTATTTGCTTCTAAACCTCCTTTTACGTATCTTTTAACATGCCGTTTTGGCCAAATTCTCGCTACACAACATGATCGATTCTCAAGTTCCTTGCTGAACAGTTATGACGTCATTGGTCGGAGATTATAATTCAAGTGACAGATACAGCAAAACAAAATAAAAACATTTTATTTTTGTTAATATTTGCAAATTTCTATTCATTTTCAGGAGTCAAATTATATCTCTAAATAGCAATATTAGGAAAACTTGTGTTCTAAACTTGACGTCATCTCGCCTACTATGACGTCATATTGTATCACTGATTTAGTCAAATCAGATTATCTTAGTGCTTCCTTAACACACCTGCGTACTTTGAGATTGTCTCGTTGAGTTCAATATTTAACCTTCCGTTGTTTTTGTTTATGGAGACAAGCACGAGTAGGAATATGAATCTTTTTTTTAAATTGATTTTCTTGTCCAAACCTTCTATATCCTACTTATGAATTTTCAAAAATCTGTAATTATCTGACGAAGATTTGTAGATTTTTTCATCAACCCTCGACGATTAGCTTTGATAAAAGTTGGTGTACTTAAATTATTCCATGCATGAAAGAAACATTTAAGATGACTACATGTATATGCTTAATGTATAATTCGTACATATTTTAAAATGATTTTTGTCTTGTTTAAAATGTATATTGCTTACGGTGTCTATATTTACATATTAATAAAAGATCATATACCTCAGACCTTAGTTTGAAATACATGTACATAAAACAAAATATCGAAATAAAATAAGGAATTGACTTTTGTTAACATTTGTACTGAGACATAAGCGGACGAATAGCAACGAGCTAGGTTCATTTTATGCATAAAATGGCCCTGTCCTTATATCAATTAATTGACTATCAACCTCTGTCCCATTTCATATATCAAAATAAAGTAGAGACTTACATGTAGTGCTTTCATTTCCTATTATAAAATTTCTTTTTGTGAATCCAGGTATTGGAAAACAGGCTTTTAGAAAATGCAATGTTCTTGAATTTTGCCAAAAACATGCGTATTTGACTACCTTCAGCAAAAAATTAAAATATGAGCACAGCCCACGATCCAAAAATTAGAACATGTTTTATGATCTTCAGAAACAGATCTTTATTTATGTAATTGCATATTTTGGATCAGAGGTTGTGCTCTACATGAACTATTGATAACAATACCTCAATTTTTGGTCATTTTTAAGGGAACAGGGTATGGGAAAAATGACGCATTTTATGACGTCATAATGCATTGACCAGAGAGAAAATTACGTCAAGTTTAATAGTGTCACCAAGGGTCCAAATTAAAAACATTGCATTTTCAACCAAAACTGAACAGTTTCGATTTTTTTTTTTTTAGAAATTCTCAGGGCCAAAAAAGGTACTAAGTGGCTCTTGCTCTTTCTCACAAATAATCTGAAAAATACTAGATTTATTGACGAACAAACTGAAATAATGCACCTACATAGGGCACAATAAGATTAATTGATTGTATGTTGTTTAACGTCCCATTCGTGAACTTTTCGTTCATATAGAGACGTCACCATAAACCGGTGAAGGGCTTCAAATCTTGACCTTTACTCTGCACGCAGGGCCATTGGGCAGTGAGGGATCTTTATCGTGTCAACGCCTGCCGTGACACGGGGCCTCGGTTTTTAAGGTCTTACCCGAAAGACCCGCAACTTTCACTTCAAAGTGCCGAGAGCATGGCAATGGAACAGTTGCTTCCCATTTTTTTTCGACTTAGGTCAGTCGCGGCCGAGATTCGAACTCACGACCTCCCGATCACGGAGCTAGCGCTCTACCGACTGAGCTACCGTGAACAGTAGGCACAATAAGAGTTACGTAGCAAAAGATAAAAGTAAGAAAATAAGAATAATTCGTGAACAAACCTTTGGTCCTTCAATAAGGTTTGTAAGCATTACGATATACTCAATGTTCTCCTGCCAGATCATTCTCCAGTGGTCGACCAGGGTGTTTACACGAGGACCTTAAGAACATCGTAAAGGAATTATAATTAATCATACAAAGTAATTATGTGTATTTATACACATTTTTTCTCCAACCTTTAACAGGTATACTCATCACTCTTCTTATTTCCTATGACACCTTTAATATTGATTTTTTTTCCTTTCGATATAATATTAAAGATATGATGAAAGATAAATCTTTCCGTTTTTTTTTTTAAATAAAAAATTACTTGTTTGTCGTGTAATATTAAATTTCGAATTGTAAAATAAATATTTTTTTACCCTGACATGCGATATATTCACGATGTCCTTCAAAGTTCTACAAATGAACAATTAACAGGAATTTGAAAAAAAAAAATAATGCATTTTACTTTCCCATTCAATAAATGATCGTTGCCCATACTACAGATTAAATACATCAGCATCATACCCCAATATAGTTTGCATTGATGTAGTTTGACGTTAAGTCCTCACTTGTTTCCAAAATAACCCTGGAGTGGTCATCTGAAGAGGAAAAAGACAATAAACTTCTTGAATTGTTTGTAAGTAGACAAGTAAAAGAAAATTCCTTCTCTGGAAAATGTAAAACTTTTCCTTGTATCCATGTTCATTTATGTTCTGCAAAAAAAAGTTTTTCACAATTTTCGAATTAAACATTGTCATTCTATGAAGCAAATCGTATTTTTGATAAAGAAGAATTTTCAGATATTTTAAAGGAAAATCTGAATTTCGGTATTTGATAATACTTCATAATTTGTTTGTATTAATTTAAATACATGCCACTGATTCAATTATGGCATTTTATAAAATGCTGCATTAAGCAAGATTTATGATTTTTTTTCTAACTCTTTTAACTTTTCTGTTATTAGAATATGTTCATATTAAAATACACCAGTGAGATTTAAAATATATTTCTATTTAGCAACTCACATGGAAACGTTGTTTTAAATCTGTTCTTTTGCATGTTCTCCTCCAGTTTAGCCGTGTGGCAATCGAATCTTTCTCCGTAAGGAAGAGTCTGTATAAAAGACGTCATATTAAAAATAAAACTTCCTTGTATGGCGTAAGGACAAAATATATATCGTCTTCTAGGAATACATTGTTTTAGCATCTGTACGCTAATAACATTGAAGCATTTGTTCGGCATATGTTCAATATATTTTGCAATGTTACCTATGTATGTATGCTAAAAAAAATAACCTTGAACTCTTTGATAAATCCTTCGTTTTCATTGGCTTCTTTGTTTTTTATGATGCTGTGGAGGTCTGATACTAATATGTCTCGTGCGGAGGTAAGATTGTTATAATACACTGCCTCTTCAGGCTTCTCTTCGTAAGGTTCTTCAGTTTCGTCTTCTCTTTCAACTGAAGCTTGTTGAAGATTACTGTTACCAATGTTCTCTGAAAAAGAATAGATCAAATATAGCTTGTATCATTGACTTCGGTATTACGACAATGTCATAAGCACATTGATTTTGAAAAATAAATAAATGATTGTTACAGCACATTCTCTTTCTCAGTTTCACAAAACTTTTATAAAATGTTGAAATTTAATTTTAATTCAATTAAGAAAATCTTCTGTTTGTTGGTGACTAACTACATTACTAATTTTATTTTATTTATAGAAATCTGTAGTAAAATTCTCATACCATTATAGCTTTGTCTATATGCAACACTTTGATTTTCTTCTTTAGTACGTCGCATCCTTATAACAGTAGAAAAAAGTCCTTCAGATGGCCGGATGAACGTTAAAGATAGAGTTTAACACATTGTTTGCAATCTGATTTAATTATGCAATGCCTCAATACCTTAGCAACACTACAACGATGATTACAATAATAGCAATGACCACAACACCACCAACTCCAGCACCAATCATAGGTATAGTAGAATCATCTTCTCCTAATATCTCAACATCTGACTTCACAGAGACTTTAAAAAATATAAGCGTATGTGTATATTTAACATTCAGAATATTTCTATGTTCTTTGTACATTTCATTCCCTAAGTAATTCTTCATTTAGACGTTAAAGATAGATTTTACACAAAAACCTAGATTTTACACAATGCATATATTCTATGTGAAACAATTAAAGAATGACGATTATGATTGTTTCCACAGAAACTAAATTAAGTATAATATGGTTTGTACCAAACACATTCCTTTCAATATTCAGACTTTTTCCTCTTTCCCACTAATATTTAGAAATGAATATAGCATAAATAAAGGACAAGGTTTATTTATGGCCACTTTTGGCACTGTGGAGTTCTTAAAAAATCAATTTTCCTTCGTTTTAGTTGACAATGCTTAAGATATCATTTATACCCTTGCTGAATTGGTATCTATAAAAAATGATGTAATTTTCTGGCTATCCAATGCATTGTGACGTCATTTTCCACAAATTCTAAAGATTTCTATAAAACGTCCAAACTTTTAAGCTATTTTTCAATAATTTGTATAGAGCACAACATCTGATCTAAAATGTGCAAATAGATAATAATAGAACTGTTTTTTTAATTACATAACACTTTTTATTTTTTGGATCGAAGAGTGCTCTCATATCTCGTTTCTTTCCTGAAAGTGTTCAAATAAACCTATTTTTTTAAATTCCAAGAACATAGCAATTTCACAAAGCCTGTTTTAAAATACTTTGGTGTTCAGAGAATTTTATTTAAAAGAAAATGAAAGCACTAAGTCTCTACTTTACGAGGGTTGTTCGGAAATTATTGAGACATTTACTTTTCCTCCACAAGGGACAGAGATAAATTCATGAAAATTCGACGACATTTTATAAAGAACAAATAAAACAAATGTGCAAAATTTTTTATTTATAGGATGATTAAATAAGTTTCGGTGAAATTACAAACATGCATATGTCTCTTGACCTGGAGCAGCATCGCTACGTCATTTTAACGTCACGTCAGCCGGAGATGTTTTCGCATGTGAAACGATCGGAATGCGTTTACTCTTCTTTCTCTGTTATCACATATAACATTTCAAAAATCAAACTTTCTCTTTTCTTAAACGATTCTTTAAAAAATATATAATAAAACGTGTGCTGTTGCTAACTCAGTGTAAAATATAATGAAGTGTCATATACAGGTTGACCTAGCATCATGCAGTACCGATTTATGCAACGCGGGTCAACGTTATTTAGACCATAATAATTGATGGTCGTCCGGAGCTTTTGCTTTTACTCTGGTTGAATTATTTGTAAGAAAAAAATACATATCAATAAAAAAAAAAAAACCTTTAGACATGTTCTATCGCATTGTTATTGTTTTAACAGGTCGTTTAGTCTGTACAAGAGTTCTCCATAATGCTACACTAAATTTTAGGTATGCTCGCTGCCCCGCTTTGACGTCAAAATCCATTTTGTCGTCATTATCAGATTTCTATACCGCATTAATTTATCTAATGATCTCCGTATTTCTGATCAAAATTCTAACAAACTTGCACAAAATGAAGTCCAAATTAAATTGAACAATTATATACATAATTTGAATTATTTTCGCTCTTACTATGAGTCCACCGGGAATTTAAACGTTGGTGTTACATATTTTCAATGTCTGATTTCGTGACTGCGCCGGGTACCCCTATCAGTGACACATTAATATACCATTGAAAAGAAGAAATAAAATATTTGTAAAATATTTCTTGCTCTTATTAATTCTTAGCGTTTGTCAAACGTATATGTAAATTTTCACCGAAAAACGTTCATTAGAAAGAAGAATATACACAATGTCTCAATAATTTCCGAACAGCCCTCGTATATTAATGTATGAATAGGACATGCAGTGGTTGTCAATAAAACAATATATTGAAAGGGCCATTTCTTGGATAAAGTAAACCCAGCTCTTTGAGATTTAAAATCAAATTACAATTTTTCACTTTCGGGGTTAAATTTTACCTTATTTAAAACAAGTCCTTTTATGTCCGTATTTTGCGCCTTAAATATTATGCTAAAGGCAATATCAAAATTTAAAAGTTTTTGAATCAAGACTTAAAATGTTTTGCCAATAAACTTACATCCATATATAAGCAGTTTAAATTTACTGAAGAACAGATGTTTGAGTTCATTTAAGTTCAAAGACCTCTTACATCATTTCTACGCTAATTAAAAATAAATGTTTCATAATTAAAGCATTGTTTAGTTTAATGAAATTTAAAAAGACTTTTTGAATACTAATTAGTTATTCCGTTAAAAGATAACACTAGGGTGGATTTTGAAGTTTTATTTCATCCAGTTTTAAGAATGTATTTAAAAAGAAATACATAATTTTACCTTACTTTATGCTTAATTTATCACAAATACCTCAAATATATATTTCGAAGATTAAAAATAGTCCAATACTTAACCATTACAGTGGGGACCCATCCACCCAGCAACACATTCATTCCTACATGTCCCATTCAGTTGGTGACATGTGTTACTCAAACAATAAGCTGTTGTCAAACAGGGCATGTTGCATTTATTTCCAAAATACCCCTTTTGGCATCCTTCTGTGCAGATACCGTTGTATCTTTTACAAATGTTATTTTTACAGTTGGGAGAACAATGTTGGGTACAATCACTTCCATAGAACCCATTTATGCAGCCCTCGGTGCAGCTTCCGCCTTCACGAGAACAGTATTTTCTAAAGCAATTAGAACAACTTATATTGCATTTGTTTCCATAATACCCTGCTTCACACCCTTGATCGTCACAATTTCCAGTACTTTGAACACATTGTTTATTGAGGCACTGAGGACCGCAGAACATATTACAAAAGGATCCATAAAACCCATTATTGCACCCATTTTTGCAACTTCCATCCTGATTGCATGCACCATCATGACATTGTGGATTGCATGGAACATTACACATTTTCCCATGGTATCCCTTAGTACACCCATGGTCACATGTACCGTCCTTCTCATTACAAGAATCGTTTCGACAATTTTTACTGCACTGAATACAGGAGGAACCATAATATCCTTTTGGACAAACTATTGTGTAAAATAATTGAAATGAATAAATCAAATCTATTAGAACAAAAAAGAGAAAACAATACATTAAATCATCACTAAATTTCGATACTACAACTAGCCGAGTGCTTAAATACGTAATTCAGTCTGAAAACATAGTAATATTTCCTGATAAATAACGTGCATGCTATTTTGAATAACAGTTGAGCAGATCAATATTCCCTTATCTTAATTTCTGAGGTAAAAATAACCTTTTGTTTATGATGAGACAATTGTTTTGATTAAAAAGTTGAAATCTTACAACATCCGAACTCAATATCGCAGAATTTGCAGTTTTCGCATGGTCGACATTCATCACCGTAACTATGAAGTGGACATCCTGCAATGGGGATATGAATTCAGTAGGATAAAAGTCTTTAAGATATATTTTATAATAAAATTAATTGCAAATATATACCCTTGTTAAAATACCTGGGTTATTTAATTCAACTTTTCAATTTGCTTATACGATGAAAAATTAATTTTAGCATCAATACATATTATATGTTACCGTAAACTTCAACTTCACATATTTCTAGAATAGCTCCTGTATTTGAATCATTAGGCGCATCATACGTGGTTTCAACAATCACATATTTCGCCGCCTGTTTACAAGGAATGTCAATGACACTTGGAGGTATTTCACCATCAGGAGTGTTGTCTTTGTGACATCGAAACCTCTCTGTAGTTACTTGTGATGGGTTTGCTGCAGACACGTTTGCAACTTCAAGGTAAAAATTCCGGAATCTATACGGTCTCCAATCATTTGGTCCTAAAATATATCTATTAAATTAATTCACGCTAACCATTTTTACAATAATTAAAACTGCATCTAATATACTCTTGTAGCTGATTTTAATCCTTTAAACAATAGTGCGTGAAAATAGGATTTATTATAATTCTATAAGTCATACATTTTAAAAGAAGTAGTACGTATATATGGCATAAATTATTTATATCATATTATAATGACATAAATTATTTCATTCTCGCAGCTTATGGCTTGATGAATTGAAATGAAAGGAGAAGAATGAAGAATAAATCTTCAGACGACTAAATATGTCAACACAATGTGTTAGCAAAAGGCAATCAAGTTATTCAAAATCTTCTCCTCTAGTATTTATTTAATTTCACTGAAGTCACCGAATTCCCCTTACAACAAATTCAAATGTTACTCTTACCATGTTACCTGAATTTCACCTTACTCCTGTTTGAACGCAGGTCGAATAACATCCAAAGTCTTGGAGACATATTGTTATCGTTCCACCTACAATTTCTCACAGAAAAGAATCTCTCCAATTCAAGATTTCTTGGAAAGATCACTTTGATTTGATGCGAGGAAGGAACATTTAATATTTCAAAAGAATTGTCTGGGCAGGTACTCCGAAAGGCTCTTTGTGAACATATTTTGCTACTGTGAGTTTGAAAGCAAGCTAATTTATAAAGGATTGTTTGGGTCTAGAGGGAAGTGCGGGAAAAACAATTCATTTAGACCATTTTGCACTGACCAAATTTTCTCTTCGCCCAAGCGTTGCTTTAAAAGCTCGTAGTGCGCTCGCTATTAATACTGTGAATTTCATTAAGATTGCCACACCATCTACCAGAACTCATTTGGACAAAATTACAGGCGGAGAAATTATATTCCCCCCGCCGACTTTGTTTGGGATGAAATAATGATTGTAGCAAATCCCATGGAAAAAGAAAATGTCTAAATGCAAGTTTAAAACAATACTTTTTTAATTATCTAGCAAATTTGCCTTAATCGAGAGTTTTGACAACCAGGACCCCAACGAATCAAACATAATGTGCACAATTTATTCATGAATCTCAATTTTAATTTGGTTGTTTGACAGGTAACATCTACCAAAAGGAAATTTCGAAATTTACAGAAATAAATTCGTTCTTTAACCAGAGTGTCTACATCTTAACGATTCTAAATGCTAGTGCTCTCGAGCGCTGGCAGCCGTCACGGTAGCTCAGTCGGTAGAGCGCTCGCTCCCTGATTGGAAAGTCGAGTGTTCGAATCGCGTCCGCGACTGACCTAATTCGATAAAAAAAAAAAAAATAGATACCAACTGTTCCTTAGCCAAGCGCTCGGAACTTTGAAGTGAAAGTTGCGGGTCCTTGCGGGATGAGACCTTAAAAACCAAGGCCCCATGTCACTGTATGCGTTGGATCCCTCAAAGCTCAACGGCTCTGAGTGCCGATTAAAGGTCTAATTTTGAAGTCCTTAACCGGTATATTGGGACGTTTTTACATGAGTGAAAAATTCTTGAACAGAACGTAAAATAACATACAATCAATGAATCAATCGAGCGCTAGCAACTGCGTTAGTCTTTTTCACTGGAATACGCATGCTCGACTTCACGGTAGAGCATTCTTGGAATACTACTGTAGATAAACTGTACCATGTCAATTTCGTTTCATTATCTACATATGATAGGGAGTTTTGTGTTTTGTTGTCTAACCTGTACATAAATGCACAAAAAGTACAATGTGATAGTAACTTAGGCCTATAGAGATAAATTATGTCTTAAAATACAATAAATACCTAGCTTTTCTTAACTTCCTTCAAGGATATTTCCGGCAAGCTCGGAAAACAACCTTAGATATGTTTTTCGAGCTTCCTGGAAAGGCCCGAGAAGATATGATTGCTACAAATCATTAACACACGGGAATAATTAAACTATATGCATAGCTTCTTTTGCACAGGTATGTTAAAGCAGTACCCAGATCATTATTCGGCGAATTTACACCTTTTTGGTAAAATTTTACATTGATAAATCGGAAAAGTCATAGATAAAACATTTACTTTAATTGTCCATTGTATAGACGTCAATGGGTCTTAGGCTAAAAGAAACTCTCGACTACGACCTCATCAAGCAACGTCTATAAATAGAAAAAAATGTCTTAATGGAAAAGTGAACAGTTCAACACCACCCCAGTGATAATTCATTTCTCTTTGTAAAAATAATTATGTCAAAGCATAACTGGGCCATGAAAAGTGCTGCTAGAATCCTACTCTCCCGCCAGAGAAAAAAAAATCTAAAGTTTTGCATGAAACCTCACCAACTATTTTACATTTTGTATATACTATCGAGGATTTTTTTTTTTTATTAATTCATGTTTGCCACACGATTCTAACAGCACTTTGTAAGTATTCTTGAATACAAACTTTCTATATAAGCAAAAATTACGTTTCAAAATATACGGCGTAGTGTTGAACTTTGAGCACTTTTGTTGTTAGGAATGACAGAGGAAAGGCTGCGCAGCTCTATTTAGGCTGCATAAAGGGGGCGGGGCCTAATTTATAGGGGAAATGTTTACTGTGACATCACATAAATATAGCAATTCCTCACAATAACAGAAAATAAAATAATTTGCGATTTAAACTGCTTAAGAGTAATGAGCTACATCAAAACTTACTACTACATTCATTTTTGTCGCTAGTTAAATACCTAACAATAAAATATAAAAAGTCACTGATCGGAATGCACTTGTCGAAATGACGTCATCATGGTAAAATTTGATGCATTTTATGTGCAGTGAGAGGCAGATCAAGAAATTTTTCCCAGTGAAAAATGCAATGTATTATTAGACAGAATATTTTTTTGCAAATAATAGGTAGACCATTAATACAAATCTAAAACCTTTGTTTAGTGCCATTATTTAAAACTATCGAGAAAATGTATTGAATTAATTCTATCCTGTTTTTGTGTAGAGAGTTTCCATGTTTCACGCCGAGGTGCCTCATTAAATCACCTTTTCGCAAGGGCATACACTTAATAGATCTTGACCATTTTTTGAATATACATAACGGAAACATTCCTTAACTTGAAAAAAGCTGTTGCTTTCCTGAAATTGAGAGCATAACTTAATAAATACATAAAATACCTGGTAAAGGTCATACGTATTTCAACTAGAGCCAAATAATTTGATTCTGGTTGTAATGCTGTATTTGATTGGATAAAAAAAAAAATGCTTAATATATCGTATAAAATGGGTTGCCTACGTCACAATGACTTGCGTCAGAAACGTATCGATCCGCCTGACGTTACATTCAAATTTTGTACAAATTGAAGTAATTTTTTAAAGACAATCATCTTTTTTTCTCACCCCAAATGAATGAAAATTAAATTATAAGGAATAAATTTAATATATAAAGCGTAAACTGCCTCAACCCAGTTTATACCGTATAAAATGGGTAGCTATTAAATTCATTCCTTAAATAATTGAAATTTAAACTAATAAAATGCGAATTCTATATATAAAGCAGAAACTCTTTCCATAAACTACAAGTTATGTAGAAACAATTTATTACTTAAATTTTTAATTTTAACAAGGGTATGCCCTTGCGATATTGAAATTCGTTTGTGACCTACATACAGTACACATTACATGCATTTGTCACGTGACTGTCAAATAACGTGATCAACCAAATATTCAGTACATAGCGGAGTATACAATACTAATATTAAAGACATGTTATAATATAGAAGCTTTAGAAAAATAAATTCAATGTAAAAAGGTATATATTTATGCAAGCTTATATTTTTTTTGTTTCTTCGTAGTACGCCTTAAAAGGGCTTCATGTACGGGATTTCAAAACTTTGTCTGTCTTCATTATAAGAAAAAAAAATGATACAAATAAATCAGCGTACCTGATTCTTAATCTTTGATTCCTTATGAATCATACATACTATTCATGGTATATACTTTTAAACTTCCATTTCATATATTTGTTTACATGGATATTCTCGTCAATTTCATTTTCACTTGGCAAATATTTGATGAGCAGTTATGACGTCATGAGTTTCGTATTTAACCCCCGTGATAATTACTTCGCTATTTATACCATCCAAAAATGAGAAGACTTAGTTTATGTTGCGTTTTACATGCGTAATTCATTTCTTGAACCTAAAATTAAACCTTAATGCAGATATTAAGAAATCCTTATCTCTAAAGTTCACGTCATACAACTTACTATGACGTCATCTTGTATAGGCAAGCAGAATATCTGGGTATAGCCTTAACATACCCGCATGATCTTTCATTTTTGACTTCAAAATTGGTATGTTACGAGGAGATGCAAAATCAGATATTTCAAGAACGTGTCGTTAGACCTTAATAATTAATCGATTCAGCAAATTAAACAAATGGCTCGGATATCTACTTCTGTGTTTTATGATGGCTACAGCGCTAGCTTACATATCTTTTTAAAAGGTAAGCTTGTTTTTGAAATATCTTGCAATACGATATTTTACTTGTGGTTATAATAAATATGATCAACACATACCTTCATCTCTATATGTAATTGTGATTGATTTTAAGCTATAAAGCGCATCAAGTTCGATTTGAAACCATGCTTTATCGTGTCCAGGAGAAGTATGAGCACAGTCTGCTTCTTTCGTCCCATTTTCCCCGTCGTTTGCTTTTTCTGCAGATCGATACACATGCTGGCTTGTGATGCTATCTGTGAAATTGTATGTTGAGCTCTGTGAAACAATGGTAGCATTTCTTCTACTTAGGTTCTCTGTAAAGAAAAGTTCATAAGATATTCTCTTAGACATTTTGGGAGAAAACCGTTTTTTCTCATTTTTGTCAGTTATTTCCACAATTTTATTTAAGAAAACTGATATGAAAATCAGATAGTTGAATCCACACTTTTCAAAAGCTATGTCCCTTGGCCGCCATCTTTGGGGAAAACACCCTACAATTTCACATTGACTTTTGCATCTATCATATTTGTAACTTTGACAATAAAAATTGGTAGTGTAAAGTTTCTTTCAATTTTGACCGTTTTGTTGACCCTGCAAATGAAACAACTATTTGTAAACAACTATTGATTTTGACTGATATTTCTTCTTGACTTCTTGACAATGCTTCTGCATCGGATATTTCATAGTAAATAAGACGGGCAAAATCACTTTTTAGATTTGATCCTGTCGGCAGATCTCTTTGATTATATTCGAAATATTTTGATAATATGTCAAAGTGTACGAAGGAGATGAGGGAAAATTATTTTTAGTGCGAATATCTGTTTATAGAAATTTGTCAAATCCACAAAATAGATTTATCAGCAAAGGTATCGATCAATGCGTACATTTAACAACCACACAATTCAAATGATCATTACAATAATTAATCACTGAGAGTAATTGCTTTTGTTAGACTTAGTATATACATAAACTTGCATAATATACATTATCAGTTAGGATCCGATAAAAGTTAGAGTAGGAATGAACTTCCAACATGCATGTGAACCAAGGACAAAAAATGACAGAGACATCTCTTGATTTCTCTGATGTTTTAAGAAATAATTGTTTCAAAATCAATTGATAAACTCTTCGTATTTTTACGAAAAGTTTTAACCAGAGAAATATTAAACACCTTTTTTTCGATATAAAAACCTCAGTGGTGTTCCAATAGCACACGAGAGTAAGGAATTGTTTCTGTGTTTCATTTTTTGATCACAGTACGCTGTCTTCTTCCTCTGTTACAATCTGAATTCTTCAAGGATCTATCACCTTTCATGATGTTACTTATATTTTTGACCATGTTTCTTTTCCCTGATAATCCGTTTCCTTTCGGGCTGTCCATCTTCCGACACATACTCCTAATCACTCAACAACTACATTTTCTACACAAATACTTGGCTAACTTTTAATAAATGTTTTGTTTCCTCCTACATTTTCAGGATTTCTCTTGGATTTTTTTTTTGAGTGCAACACAAAATTATACATCAACTTGCTAATCCATGACGTGTTGTGACGTCATCTTTTTTTTTTTTTACCTTTAATTCCTGTCCTCTGCAATGTATTACACCGTTATTTGGCATGGGAAATGGTGGAACGATACTCAACTTCAGTATTTAAATAACTATTTCATTTTAGTGCCTATTAATAGAGATATGCCTAGAGACGTAATATTCCGGGGGTAGTCTATTATTAGATAATTACTATGTTTGAGTGCTGCATGATCCTACTTTCGAACTTTTTAATCTCAGATGATTTTGAAATTGACGATGATTGTTTATATGTCACCTTCTATTGCATACAATAATCAAAGGGTATCTACATATTACAAGTGCTTTGATTACAATTACAAAGGCAAGTGCACCAGGCTTCAATGCACATATGCACATCGCTGTATTAAGTGCAATGATATGCACCCTGCATTGCTCTGATTAAGTTCCCAAGCAGCATCTGCTCAGACTTCCCCTAACTTAAATCGTGCCTTTCGTGCAAATGGACCAGCTTGTCAGCAACCGCAGTTCCAAACCCCATAACAGTTCTACCACAAAAGGCAATCTGGGCTACAAGCAAGACCTTTGGGACCTGGGAGTTTCCCCTATAAGAACTAATGCAGTGATGGAATACTTGGATAAATACCCTGACGAGTCCGCGGCCATGTTTTTACTAATTAATGGGTTTAAGTTAGTATATTCGGGCCCACGTCTACCTGTGTTTAGCAAGAACTTGGTATCTGCAGTGCAACATGCAGATGTTTTACAGGAAAAAATAGATAATGAACTTAAGGAGGGTCGTGTAGCAGGCCCTTATCAAAGACAACCAATACACAATTTGCACATATCCCCAGTAGGAGTTGTCCATAAAGCTGATGGCGGTTGGCGAATGATAATGCATCTTTCATACCCACCGTCAATCAGTATAAATCATAATATTGATCCAGCTTACACTGCTGTTAAGTATACATCCTTCGACACTGTTATACAAACAATAAGTAAACTGGGAAAGGGGGCAGTCATTGCAAAACGTGATATTAAAAGTGCATTTCGGCTACTTAGTGTTTATCAAAGTGATTTCGATTTACTGGGAATGTACGTGTAAATGGGAACTACTTTTTCGACAAATGTTTACCCTTTGGATGTGCCATTTCATGTAAAATATTTGAAACATTTTCAACATTTTTTAGAATGGGTGGTTAGGGATAAAACTGGCATGGACACAATTCACCATTATTTGGATGATTTTATATTCATTGGTAGGGCACACACTAAAGATTGTAAAATTCTTATGCAAACCTTTCAGAAGGTTTGTGATGATATTGGAGTTTCCCTTAATCTGAAAAAAAACCCAGTAGCACCTACTATTTGTTTAGTCTTCCTGGGCCTGCTTATTGACACAATAAAAATGCAAATTAGCAAATTAGAATTCCCAAGAGTAAAGTTAACGAACTTTACTCAACTGCTGCAATTTTGGGTGGGCAAAGAAAATATTAAATTGTCGGAACTACAAACACCTTTAGTGGGCAAGTTGAATTTTTTTAGTAAAGCAATACCTGGAAGTAGAGCATTTAATAGACATTTCTACAATGCGATGAGAGGACTAGACAAACCATATTTACACATTAGAATAACTAGTCCAATGCGTGAAGACTTGAGAACATGCCTTGAATTTCTAAAAAAAAAAAAAAAATAATGGGGTGGTGTATTTTCCAGATAGTCAATGGAGTATTTTAGATACACTTGGACTTTTCACAGACAGTGCAGGGTCAGCAGAGTTAGGCTGTGGGTGCTATTTTAAGGGTATTTTCAATGGCCTGCAGATTGGGCTAATACAGCAATTTTAAGGGATACTACTTTTTTGGAGTTGATACCTATTGTGTTATCTGTGTTGGTATGGGGGAAAAGATTGCAAAATTAAAAAAATCATTTTCTTCATAGACAATATAGCCTTAGTTCACATATTAAATAAACAATCATCGCAGTCTGAAAGAATGTCATTAGTTAGGCCATTAATGCTAGCATTGTTAAGATATAATATACAAATTAAAGCCAATCACATTCCGGGTAAAAGTAATTGTATTGCTGATTCTATATCCCGCAAAAAGTGGGAGGTTTTCAGGCGCCTTGCACCAGCATCGGACCCAGAGCTGCAGACCATCCCGGAGCCATTCCAGATATTACTCTCTCAGTTGAAGTAGAGCGCTTGTACAACGCATCTATGTCCTTAAATACGGCACAAGCATACACAGTTGGGATTCAAAACTTTGACCATTTTCGCAAGACACAAGGATGGTCGCTCACTTGGCCGCCACCAGATACGCACATAAATATGTTCATTGCCCAATTATCATTGAGGGGTTACAAACATTCTACAGCCAAGTCATATATTACAGCAATTAGCTTTTATTGTAAAAGTAAATTCATCAATGACCCAACAAAGACCTTTGTGGTGCAAAAACTTTTACAGGGCATGAAAAGATCAAATCCGGGTGGGAATAGTCGTTTACCAATTACAATGGATATCTTGTTTGTCATAATACCTAAACTTCAGGTAATCTGTAGCAGCTCCTACGAAGCCGCTTTATGTAAGGCAGCTTTCTTGCTTGCGTTTCATGCATTCCTAAGAATAGGTAAAATTGCCTTATCGAAGGGCAATACAGTTAAAACCATATTACAAGTGGAAGATGTTTCATTATTTGTCAGTAAAATGGCAATTAGTATTAGACATTCGAAAACAGATCAGATGGGTAAAGGGGTGGCATTAAGCCTTCAGGCATCGCATGGGGAAATGTGTCCAGTTAGAGCTATGCAAGCATACTTACTAGGGCGTCCAACAGTTACGGGCCCACTTTTCTGTCACTTTTCAGGAAAACCCATGACTCGTTATCAATTTAGTTCAGTGTTAAATAAAGCTTTAAATATGTCCACCATTGATAGTAGAAATTATAAATCACACTCATTCCGGCAACAACGCTTGCTCAACAAGGGGCATCAAGGGAAGTTATTCAAAATTCAGGTAGATGGCGATCTAATGCATATTGTTTATACATTCGCTGAATCATGTCAAATGCTAATATGCATCTAGTTTTTAATTTAGGCTATTATAAAATTTGGATCGTGGGATCATCCTTTGTCAAGAGAGCTTCTTAAGCATCAAGATCAAGAACAGGGGGTCACAATCTTAATGTACCAAATAGACGCATATGGTGGCAGGGCTATGGGGGTATGATATTGAGTCAGCTGATCCCTAAACTGAAGCTCCTGCAGAAATTAGAAGATGAACCCAATCTTGTTATTATTGACTGTGGGGCAAACAATCTTGGCCTATTAAAGTTGAAGGACCTTTTGCAACAGCTGAAAGAAACGCTATTAAAGGTATCAAAACTATTCCCAATTCAAAAATAGTCTGGTCAGGTATGCTCCCCAGGTTTGTATGGCGTCACTCTAAGAATGTAAAAGCCATGGAAAATATCAGAACTAAAATGAACAGGGAAGCTATTAGGATGGTTACAGCACAGGGTGGGGCATACATTAAGCATGTACTGTTTGAGAGTAAGCATAGGAATTTGTTTCATGAAATGGGGTTCATTTATCACAATTGGGGAACGACTTATTGTTGAACAACTATCAGGGAGCAATTGAGCATATTAGGTCTGGTCAGGGTAATGCATTCCCGAATAAATGAGCGGGCCCTGGTCGTGGTGACCAATTGCGTTGGAGTACTGCCGCCGCCACTATGGTTCTTGGCACCCCATTTGTGGCGGTTGCAGTGCCATAACCTTTTGTGATAGGCACACAAATGGTTATGGCCCTTGCAAGTGGCGTATTTCGTCGCACCTCAACGCAGTTGGAGGAATGCAACACATTAAGCTCATGACATTTGACTATTTTGATAAGGGTAATTGACTCTGAATAATTATTGTATTGGTGACGTCCATGCACTTGTGACCTACCCAGTGCAGGTATAAATGTATATCTTGTTGTTTATAGGGAATCTGAGATATATATATATATATATATATATATATATATATATATATATATATATATATATATATATATATATATATATATATATATATATATATATATATATGAACTATGGTATTACTAAGTTTGATAAAAAATATGATTATTTTATTGTTAAATAATTAAAAATTGCTTTGATCATGTTGAATGTACAAGTTTTAATTCCTTATTATCTGAATTTACACAAACGCAGAATAGGACAATATTTTACTGGTTGTCTCAGCTATGGCAAAAGTGTTATGTTATAAAACGAAAATCAGCAGTACGCTTTTTTCAACAAAAAAGACCTATTGCAACTAACACTAAAATTACCAACAACTTTCTTTCAAACTCGTCAAACCTGTTTTTCAGAAGAAGTTACAGATTTCACATACAAGGAAGTAATTAATTTTAGATCTTCAGCATTCAAAGCAGAGTCATTTATCAATTTATTGTTTCTACACTTAAGAGTCTTTGAAGCTTTTCATTACAATCTGGACACAGTCCCTCTTGAGAATTAGTACTACCTTATCTGTCAGTTAAACACGATTGTTTGACAATAAAAAGAACTGTTTACAATAACACCGTGCGTCTTTTTTATCTTATCTGTCAATAATAGTGCCTATTTAAAGAATGTAAAATAAACTATAAATAAAATAAAAACATAAAGAATGAATACATACCATAGCACAAAATACATTTAAGTACTAGAATCCAACAAATCCAGACAAGTAGATCCATTTTGAAAGAGGAAGTAGAAATCCAAATCCTTGAGAAAATATTGAACTTAGGAAAACCAGAATGCAGGGGTATTTAAAATCCTGAATGTTTATTGAACCATTTA